AGATACCTAGCGGCGGCATTCTGATCGGTAGTATTTTAAGAGGTTGTCAGAGAAGAAAATTTCTTCCGAGTCTCGGATGTTCCTTTAACATCGGTGGTTTACTAATTAGCTCCCCTGAGTGTCTTATAAGGATTAGAGAACCATATGCTACCATCTTTAATGAATTAACAATATTCATTGGAGTTATAGCTCGATTTTAATTAGCAAGTTGACAAATTGGGTGTCATTTTTGTAATCGGAATATCTGAAAATTGTTACTTTAATATTTCATCTATTTGTCATACTAGTAACTATTTGACAAAATTGGCTATGTTTAAACAGTACATATGTTTAAATCATAAGATTTTCTTTGAGTACAGACAGATTGTAAAAATTTGAAAGCCTGGCAGCACCTAGATATATAAAAGTTATGTGCATTTTATGTTACAGAAAGTAACATTTAATTTTGTTTCTTTGACATAGATGGTGTAAAAATAAACTAACTATATATAAGTTGTAAATTCTTTGAGCTATACCCGTCATGTAACAATTGAATTGTATTAATTGATATGGACAATATATCTCCGCACAGCAAAAGGTGAATTAAATTGTGAAACTGGGTGGGCAGTATCAAATAAAACTCAGGTGTTTGTTTATCTTATAATCTTCTTCAGGAAGCAAAGAAACAAAATTTAATGTTCATTTAAATGCAGGAAAGTTTAAAGCTTTCTGAAACACAAAATGCATGTAAGTTTTATATATTCAAGTACTGTCTGACGTTAAATCTTTTCCAGTTGCACACGTTTGCCTGTACTCAGAGTTAATTGCGTGGTGTAAACACAGCCATATTTGTCAAATGGTTAAATCGAAGCTGAAGTTTTAAAAAATCGTAATTGAGTCACGACAAAACAAGACAAACAATTGTCGACCGTTTGATTGCTGAAAATTGCACGGAAGGCATCCTTTCGAGATCGATAGTGGTTTTATGGAAAAGTGATATAAGAGCATTTATGAACTTCTTCCGGATAATCTTCAGGTTTTTAGTTATATAACCTTTTCCGAGATTAAGAAAAGAACCACTAGAAACGGAGAGTTTGATTGATATATATTAAGAGCCTATTATTTGACAAGGTCTAGTGAATACAATGTTTTTCATATACTTCCTTTAAAAGTGCAACAGCCTTTAACATTTCATTACAATGCTACAAAAAAATGGAACTTATTGCCGTATGATTTAAAGTGCAACAAAAATTTTGAATCTTTTTAACCTGATGTCAAAGATTTTCTGTTATAAAAGGAAAGCAAACGATTTTAATAGCATTTTTTAAAAGAAATTATTGAGTACTTAAATAGTCTAGACAATGTCATTATCAACAACTTTTAATATAACTGGTATATATGATTTCTTGATATTATGATATTTTTAAGAATGTAACATACATTTGAAATAAGCTGAATATCTGTTATGGACAATCAGTCTGGGAATTAAGTATCAACACTTTGTCTAAAGACTAGGATGTTACTGAGTATGTTTTAACATGGGTGGTATTTTTTAATGTCAACTCATTGCATATATGAAATTATAATGTTGACAAGCACGCGGTATCAATGGTTAAGAGCAAAAACTAGGCGACTCGGCCTGTGTCAGAATAGTATGTCTTCCTGTGAATCTGGTTCAGCGAGTCGGTCTAGTACAAACCAGGGTTCGCTATGATAATCTTCTGGCATTACCATGATTATGCATTTAATTTGCCGCTGGACGTTTAACAGCCATCCATCATCTTCATCTTTAAAGCGGTGTGCCACAAATATATGTATGTCAACTTCAATTAATATTTAAAAAAAATATTTCATGATAACATATAGTAAAGATAAAAGATAAAAAAGATTGGTAGATAGTCATTTGAACTCTTAGTAGCCATGATAGTTTATAAGTTGTCTCACTGACAGTCTCCTTATTTTTGTTGTAAGAGCACAACTTCGTATCAGTTTAAAAAAAAAATGTTACTTCTCGCTATGATTCTGAAGTAGTTAGAGAGACATCGGCCACTTGCTAACAGCCAGTCTTTTTTAGCGTTTCACAGCCATAAATGTCACCACATGGAAGAAAAAAAATGCCCTTTTTGTTTTGCATCGAATGCATGGCGGGATACATACAAAAAGGTTTTTTAATTGACAGGTGAATGCAACATATCTATGGAAACAGAATTAGGCCGAAGGCAATTCCTTTGAAGAACAAACTGATAGGACCGTGGGGGTCCAATCCACTGTCACACCCAACTCGAGAAATATTTAAAAAAAAAATGATGTAATGGGAAAATTGACACTTTTTTTGTTTGGCCTTCTGGATTTTTTTCTGTTATATTCAAATTTAACTAAAAGTAATGATAATTATCAGAATTACGTGAATTCTGTGACTAATACGTTAAAATAAAAATGTAGAACTATTTGTCCCAGGTCGGAGTTTTTAAATTTGCACATCTTACTTAGTCAATGTTATAATTTGTCTATATGATTTATTATATGAAATTATTTTGAAATATGGAGTGTAGTTTAAAAAAGAATATTCTGCAAAAACCAATTTTAAGATAAACAAACCTCTAACTCTATCCAAAAAAAAATTATATATATAATGATTTAATACACCAGTGACGACGAACTTGAAAAACGCTCCTTCGAGTGAGGCGGTACGATTCTCCAAGACTCTCAACCCTGCCAAAAAAAAAATGCTGCTGTTCCCTTCTCGCTTCACCGGTGTCCCATTTAATACATTTACTACAGTGATCTGTTGAACGAATAGTCAGTCTGTTTGGGTTACAGCGTATAGATAAGTCCGTTGAGAATAATTTACCCTAAGAAATTTTACGGAAAATATTGCTTTTAACATGACCATTTTAATAACTAAATTTGAATAACTGTAAATAATATTAACAAATCTTAATTGAATATAAGAAAGCCGATTTTACTGTACGGTTTTCAGAAAGATCAAAATCGCATTTCAAAATCATCATACAAGTGTACCCCTCTTCTAAAAACTACGAATTAATATATTAGATAAATCGGGCTTATTATTACCACCTCACTTGAAGGAGGGTTTTTTCGTCGTTACTGGTGTATAAAATCAATGGCCAACGGTTTTTTTTAAGCTGGATAGAGTTAGAGGGTAGCCTGATTTAAAGGGTTTCTTATCTTATATTATCTTATTACTTGCAAATACAACGGTAATAGCACTGACTTTCAGTCCATCCGTGGAACACGAAACCACAGATATGTGAATTTAAACCGTAAATGACTTATATTTGAGTGTAATAGTCCCAGATAAAACACACTCGAACTGTGACCAAATATACCCCGAAGTGTCTTGAACATTTTTGATGAAAATCTCACGAGAGCCTTTTGTTCAAGCGTTTGTCAATATGCCGAATCTTATAGCATAAAGTTTAACTAACTTACCAAAAACCCCAAAAAACAAACAAATCAAAGCCCGCTTAAAACAACAATGAAAATCATTCACCAAAACCAGCAAAATATTTTGCGCCAAAAAATCGGGAGGATGAACGTAAAATAAATTTTAACAAGTTGATGATAAAACATTAATTATGTGATATGCAGAGACTTACGATTTAATTGTTTTATAATAATAACAATAATTGAAATTAAATAGAAAATGCATGTTATTTCTAGTATAAATATGTAAATATAAAACAGAAAAACGCTGAAATAATTGAAATTAAAAGAAATGAAAAACAAAAATATAGATTGGGGAAAAAAGGAATGTGCTAGAAAAGTGTCCTGTCCCAAGTACCTTTGTTTATACTATACCAATCATTGTACTAGTTGCGTTCAGAGTAAGATCTACTGCATGCTCGTTTTAACCTTCTGTCCGACATTAAGGTATGCAGTACTTCCTACGACTCAAAGATCTTGTTACACGAGTATCATTGGATGCCAGAAATGGAAAGAAATCTTCAGCAACAGCCAATTGAGACATTACAGCACTTTTGCTAGACTCAGTCTTCAGTGTTCTATATTCTGCAAAACCTCAGCATATTGCAAAATAATAATATTGAGTCCCTGACTAGAGACTTTTGTTATAAAATACGTATAGGTCGACTAACGTTGAACTTCTGAAGAATATAGAAATCAAGTGAACCAAAGGTGAATTGTGTGAATTCTAGGAGAGGATGATCATGGACATTAAAATTTTAGTATTTTATATATACATGATCTCTCTCCAATGACCATATATTGTAGCAAAAATGATGTTTTTAGATTTTAATCATTTCATACATGTATATTATTTTGCACCACTTGTCAACACATATTTGTTCCGCCTAACAGAAGTTTCCCCGCCAGGAAACTTTGTTATAAACAATACCATAATATTTGTTCCTCGGCGTTGGAACAACTTTCTATACAATTTATTCCGTTAGGAAAAAATACTGTAATATTTGTTCCTGAGTGAAAATAATATTACATCATGGGTATTTCTTCCATTTGGCCGAACTTCTACTATGAACGAACTTATATTTCATGACAAACAAACATTCATTCTCTTCAAGTTATGTTTTATTTTTGTCTTTGCACAAATTCAGTACAGAGCACGTCTACTGGATCACGTTTGATTTTATTTTTAAATTCATGACTTAAATTCTTTTTAAAATTAAGAAATTTGTTCACCTAAATATCTGTGTATTAAAATATTTTCTTTTATCCAATAAGTGGTGTTCCTAGGGTAAGAAGCTCATACAAAAGAACGAAGGAAGAAACTCGGAATTTTAAGTAAGTTTGGTCATAGATAGGACTAGATATAATCATGATAGATATGGTTTGGTTGATAAATATTATAAAATAAAGCAATCAATAAATAACCAAATGAAACTATTAAAGATGCAAAACTGTTCTGTGTTTTTTTATTATGATTATTCGCACATAAAAAAGACTGCTATAAATCACTACACTTCACGGTTGAGCGGATCTAGCAAGTCAGTGCGTGAAAATGGGGAGATAATTTCCGCTAGGTGGCAGCTCCTTGGCAACAACTGTTTACTTCCGCTTTTAGCTGCGTTTGGAGAACAACACATTAGTGCATTTATTTTACTATTACACCTGCTTACAGAAACCACCAAGATGTCAGACTTAGGATCAGATGAAATGGAAGATGAGCAGCACCCATATATTGGGGTTTGTACATTTCGAATGATGCAAAAATACCATTTGCGCATTAATTAATTGAAAATAAATTTATAGTTTGTAAATTGTACATTACCTGCCCCAATACTGTACATTTATATGAAAAGATTAGTACACTGTTAAGTATTTTTTGTGTAATATACATAGCTTAACTTACAATAAAAATAAGGAGAAAATCTGAACTTAGAAAAATAAACAATATAAGATAACAATCAGGTATTGACTATTGAGGTAATATTATTAAGATTTTAAAAATTGTTTTCCAGGAGTATGAGGGAGGACGAAATGAAAATGATGAACGTCATGGATTTGGTAAAGCCACTCTGGCAAATCAAGATACATATGAAGGAATGTATGAAAAAGGAAAAAGAAATGGACAGGGAACATACAGGTAATACCATACTACTTCTCTGGAAGTTGAACCAGATTTGGATTTGCTAGTTTTTTTCATTGCCATGCAGCTGCTTGTTGACAGCAACGATTGAAATAGTAAATATTTTAAAATCAAACTCCGTGTTGAAGACAGTACTTTGACCTATAATGGTTTACTTTTATAAATTTTGACTTGGATGGAGAGTTGTCTCATTGGCACTCATACCACATCTTCTTATGTCTATTAAGTAGATAATTGGTTCTGGACAAACATTTTCAGGCTTCTGACTCTGTAAATGTCCAACATACCCTTGGAAAGACAAAAAATGTACTACTACAAATGTACATGTACTTAACAGTCTCATGATAAACTTTTGAATCCTAAGGCCCTAGGCTTAATTTTACCAACATTTCAGTTAGATTCTTTGGATTGTAGAGTTGATGGTTACAGGTCTGAAAGCAATTTTATAAACCTGGGCTGGTGGGTCTGTGGCTCAGCATGATGACTGATACTAGCCTACTAGGATGGCAGATATTTGGTAATCTCACTCAAAGTTTTTTAAAAACTTATTAAAACTCTTGGCATGGTAGAAGCTTGACATATTGTGTAGACATTTGTCTACTTTTTAAAGACCATATGTCAAACTATAGAATTTTTTCTGGCTTTAGTTTGTTTTAAGGTTGATGTCTCCTTGACATAAGCTATACATTTCAAATTAGATCAAATATATATATTTGAAATATTAAATTTTCAGGCTCTTTTCATAATTTAGTTTGTATTTGATTTCTTTTTATAAAAAAAAATCCTTTGATAAAGTTTAAGTTGAAGAAAAAAACATTTTAATAATATAACTTTATTCTTTTCAGATTTAGAAATGGTGCCAGATATATTGGTGAATATTCACAGAATCAAAAACATGGTCAGGGGACATTTATTTATCCAGATGGTTCAAAATATGAAGGTAGGTCAGCGTTTTAATAAATTTAGTCTCTTCTTAACCAACATGCAAAAAGGGAGACTTCAACATGCTTTTTCCGATAACATTGTCAACAATGTACTAGTTTATGATAAGGTCAGTTTAAGTTGAACCACTAATGGTAAGTCCATGCTATTGGTGGGCAGTTGTATTACATGTAGCATTTGTGCATTTCATATTCATGGGGGTTATTCCTCTGATTTCTTGAGTCATGGTTTATTTACTTTGAAACTTTTGCATAGTTGATGTTAAAGTTTGTGCATTCAAGAACCAGAAGTTTGAAAAGCCTAAATATAAAACATTTCAGGGCCTTTATTGAGAATTTAAAGTCTAGAGTACTGTATATTTACGAGAAGATCAAAATATTATATTTTATGTGTCATCTGACGTTTTTATTCTGTGTTTTAATATTACATCATATCATTTATGCTTTTTCATGTAGGAAACTGGGTTAAGGATCAAAGATGTGGTTTTGGTAAATACACATATGTAAATGGTGATACATATGAAGGAGAATGGCAAGATCATTTACGGCATGGTCAAGGCACTTACACATATGCTCAAACTGGTACAAAATATGTTGGACGATGGGTTCGAGGAAAGCGGGAAGGACATGGAGAGCTTATTCATGCAAATCATAAATATGTTGGTGTGTTTAAAGAAGACAAGGTAAACATTACAATTATTTACCAGTTTTGCAGTTTGTTAAGTTATATCATAAGTTAAATATTTTTAAGTTTGAGACATATAAAAAACATAATGCATTTCATCATCTGACTTTCCATCATTAAAGATCAGACAGTGACCTCTATGTGTATTTATTTGGTGAACTAATTGTCCCATTGACACCTTTTATTGATATTTCGAGTCAACGCAAATCATTTTTGAATGAATATAAAAATAGTCCTTTGCATACCTGATTCTTTGTTCAGAAATTAACATAACTTCATTATTGGAATTTTTATATCCTTTTTCTAAAGCAGCTTGATAAATAATATATTTTAAATGTTCTTGTATATAATTAAGAGTGTTTTATTTTGAATTTCAGCCACTAGGAAAAGGAAAATATGTTTTTGATATTGGTTGTGAACAACATGGAGAATACATACACATTGAACAGGTAATTGTAACTGTAGTTATCTCCCTTTATAACTTACCCCAAAAAGGAAAATTTGATATTATCTTCACTGAAAAAAAAACAGTAAAAAATAACAAAATGAACTCGTTTTCAGTTAACAAATTAATGAATCCTCTCTTACCTAGAATAAAAAGATATTTAATGGCAGATGCAAGTATATGTTTTGTACTTCATTTTTTACAGGTTTTAAAAATCAGCCAACTAAAATTAGGTGTTATTCCTATATATATATATAGCTATTTACACATGCTAAAACAACAGGTTAACATTTTAAAAACTCTGCATTATGTATATTTTATTTCAAGATTTTCATTAAATAAATTTACAATTTGTTTTTCAGGAAAAAGAAGACAAAGCAGCTGATGACGAGGAAGCATCACCAAATGTAACACCAAAATGGAATGCTGGTCAGGTGACAGCTATCCATCTACAGACGGAGGAGGAAGAGAGAGCAGAGGAAGAATCACAAGGTAATAATTTGTTAAACCAGACTTTGTAATCATTTATTTATTAAGACCAAGGCCAAACAAAGTAAATTTTAAGCTTCTCAGACCAACTTTAACAAAATATTGAAACAACATTGGATTACACTTTGAACATTTATGTGTAAAGTTATTTGATTACAACTGAAACATTAATACATGTATATAAGTGTATGAAAGATATAATTATTTAAAGAATTGAATACACACATTTTCTTACTCAATTGAGTACAAAAAAGTTGAGTTAGTCCTCAATAATTGAGTTTTTATTTCAAGTTTAATACTAAGTAGTTATTAGGCAGTTTTTAATTAGATGAGATAAGTCCTGAGAAGCTTAGCATTTAGGTTTTTTGGGCTTTTTACTAGTTTTTATAACAAATAACTAGACAAATATTAGCTATTAATTTTAGTGATTATGAAACTTCCAATATTTAAAATTCAAACTGCTGAAAGTATTTTATATTTGTTCCAAGTAATGAATAAATTCCTAATGCATGTAAGATGCATGAGGAGACAGCATTGTGAAATTTTCTCCAAAAATGTTTGATTGAAGAAAACAAAAAAACAGTTAAGTTAATTTTGATATTTCACAAGGCAAATGATGAATACATGTAGCCATAAAAATAATCTTGTGTATTTACATACATATATAATTAAAATTGAAAAATATTTTCTCTTCAATATAAATCTTACTTGCCCTTGTAGCATTTTGGAATTATTGCATAAAATCTGGAAGTAAAATAATGATGAGAAATTTTTCCTAATAGCCAAATTGAGAAGAAAACAAATATTTAGATAAATACAGCACTCTTCTATTGGGTTAGTCAGAATATGACAAACAATATTATTAGATAATCCATTATTGAAAGGGAGATAATCCAATATTGAAAGGGAGATAATCACAAGTATTGTGAAAAATAACATTGACACTAATAATCACTCATGATCACATGATTGTCATTTGTGTATATTGCACTTTTTTGTTCACAGAATCATAACAAACTTAGATTTTAAGGTAACATTTTCATTCTTTTAAGATGAAAAAAAGAACAGATAAAAGCATGATTGATGTCTGCATGGCTTGTTCCTATTTATTTGTTGTTATGTTTCAGGGTGTTTAATTAAAGCAGCATTTTTCGTTAATTGTTAAAAGTGAAATCATTAGATTATCTTTTCTTTTTTCAAGTTAAAATTCATGATTACCTGGGAAAATATGTGAAAAAAATATTCATTGTGACACATTCACAAAGATCTGAAAGCATGGTAATGGCAGAAAGAATTAACAAAACCATTAGTTTTCTGCACCCTTATTGCACATTCATGCCATTATGATTTGGCTTAGTAGGTGTCAGTTTTGACCTGATATGTTTAATGACAAATCTCAAAATAAGGATTACTATTGTTATTTCTGAAAATCAGTTGTCAAATTCATGTTCAATAATCAAATATTTAAAAAAGTAAAAAATTTCTGTGTCTAATTTAAAAAAAAAATTATGTTTTTAAGAATTAGTGTCTTCTGGTTGCTTGTTGTTGGTCACCATTATTTTCCTAATGTTTCAGCCAATGCATTTATTTACTCTAGCATATCTACTCCCATATCCACACAGGGTAATCCAATCCAAAATCCTTGGAGGGATTATTAAAAAGTTTGTAACATTTGAGTTGGTTGGTAAAATCTGGATCCAATTCCCACTATTAAAGCATAATTCCAATGTGGGAATCAGATCCATATTTTACTTGCCAACCATTACAAACTTTTCATTACTTGCTCCTCAGGATTTGGATCCCTCTGCGGTTTTTGATAGGGATCCCCAATAACCCATTTAGTTGTTATTTGAATCATTTGGGATTTGTCAAATTTTGCAGGGTTAACATGGCTGATATCAGTCATACCACATGTTTTATCAACTGTTTTGTGTCCTTTGCATGCTTTTCAAGTGTGGATGCTGATCACAGTTTTCACATCAATTTGTATGAAACCATATTTAATTTAAATGAACTTTTCCATTCTCCTTCCCAGCATTTACCTTTGTTTTGTACCTGTTATAGTTAATTTAACATATTATATTTAAAGTAGAAATATTTTAGTCAAAAAGTCATGACAATGTTTTAAAGTGAAAAGAAGAATACCTTTACCAAACTACGAGATATAAAAAGAGAATTGGTTTGCATATCTTGAAAAATAAAAAATAAACTTTCTAACAAATGTACATGTATCATTGATACATTCATAATTTTTACATATACAAAATAAAACCTAACCATCTTATTTTTATATCGATTGAATATTTATATATATTTCAAAATATTACTTATTCCAGTTTTGATAAGCCTCATTTTTACTAAGTTATGAACCTGTTTTGTAGGAGAACAACAATCTGAAGAACAGCAGGGAGAACAACAAGGAGAACAACAGAGTGAGCAGCCATCAGAACAACAACCAGAACAAACAACAGAGAGTAAAGAAGAGAAGCCTGCTGAAGAACAGCAACAAGCAGAAGGTGAAGAAAAGGAAGCAGAACCTGAACAAACACAAGAGGAAGAAAAAACAGAGGAACCAACTCAGGAACAAGCAGATGAAGATTGATCTTAATCTATCCTATAGTATTCATTAAATATTGACATTATTACTCATTTTGGTGAAAATGACAAAAAATTTAATAAGTGAAATGGATTCATATCATATAAACCAAGAGTGCGCTTTACAAAGAAATGCTATTTTACTGTGATATCAAATTGTTGTTCTCCTTAGGCATCTCAAGTTTACTTTGTAAATTTATCATTGAATTTATTATATTATTTTATTAAGAATAAATGTTATACACCTGTTACTGGATTACTGATGCCCCAGCCGTAAGCAAAGGGGCCATTAACAGTAAGATAACATATTACCCTTGACCATCTGTCCATCTCTTCATCCTTCCGTCTTTCCGTCCATCCTTTTTTTGTTTCTGCACTCTTACTTAAGTTTTCCTCATCCAAATCTTATGAAACTCATACACAATGCTAAAAACCAAAACTTGCAGACAGAGTTATAATTTGGGCTGTAAGTCACCTACCATTCTAGAGTTATGCCCCCTTATAACTTGGAAATTTACATGAAAATTTTTTTCGTTTCCTCACCTTAAAGTTTTCTCCTCCAAATTCATAAAACTCATACACACTGCTAAGAACCAAACTCACAGACAGACTTCGATTTGGGGTGTAAGTCACTCACCGTTCTAGAGTTATGCCTTTTGACAACTTGAAAAATTACTAATTTATTCTGTTTCTACACTCTATCTTGAGTTTTACTCATCCAAATCTTATGAAACTCATACACAATGCTAAGAACCACAACACGCAGACAGAGTTTGAAATTGGGCAGTGAATCATTTACTGTTCTACAGCTATGCCTCTTTTTAACTTGGAAAATTTCAAAGCTTGAGCGGGGGTAGTATTGTCCTCAGACACAATCTTCTTTTATTTGTTGTTGCAATTATTTAGCAAGGTGAATTGAAACTATACAATTAAGGATGGCACAAAAAGACCTTATCTCTATTTTCGAATCTGCAACGCTTAGAACTACTGACTTCATACAACAACCACTTTGCAAATGTTGCGTAAATCATTTTCTCTTATGACCTCAAAATTTTACAGGAACGTCTATGATGGTTAGTAATGGCGGACAAATAGCAATAAGGTGTATGCTCTGACCAACAATCAATTTCCTAAAGGGAAGCACGGCCAAGGAGTAAAAAGTAAAATAACAAAAATACTGAACTCTAATGAAAATTCAAAACGGAAAGTCCCTCATCAAATGGCAAAATCAACGAATGGCAAAATCAAAAGCTCAAACACATCAAACTAATGGAAAACAACTGTCATATTCTTGACTTAGTACATGCATTTCCTTATCTAGAAAATGGTGGATTAAACCTGGTTTTATAGGTAGCTAAACTTTACTTGTATTACAGTTGCATAAAATTCCATTATATTGACAAGTGTGAACAAAACAAACAGACATGACAGGTAAAAATGTCAAAAATATGGGTACAGAGGTCAACATTGTGTTATCATCCCAATCACTATAAAAAAAAATCAAAGAAAAACAAAATGGCATATAGACAAAGCACATAAAGTAAAAATGAAAGTAATATATTTATATCAACTAAAAACTTTTATGCTATTGAAAATAAGTGACTTGGAATAAAACCAAACTCAGTCTGTTTCTCATCTAAATTGTACTACTTCACATAATCAAAAATCAGATAACTGAAAGCATAGCAAATAAATTGCTTCGCCGAGCGCAGCTGGATACAACAGCAGAGGTCCAACCCTGAAAGTTGGCAAAAATGGACACAATATTCGCACTTTATACAGGTCTGAATTTGTGCAATACACTATGCTGTTGCGTATTAACCCCCTCCCCTCTCACACACATACACACATTTTTTTTTTGCAAAAAAATTTTTGGAGAATTTTTCTTTTTAATTACTGAAATGAAAAAAAAATTGACCACCCACAATTTCTTTTTACCCCCCTCCCCCTTTTTTTCTCCCTCAAGATATGGTCATAATCACAATTCAAATTTCCAATGGAGTTTGTAACCATAATTACCCATTTAAATTTACCATAGTGCTCACTTATTCTATTTTATAATAGAATTTAGAATATGGTGTCAAATCTTTCATATGGATTTTTTTGTAAAAAAAAAGATGCAACATTTGCCACCTTGTATTTGAATTACCTCCCTGACACTGCTTTTAAATTGTTCATTAACCATTACTTTATACATAATTTAAAAGCAGTGTAAGGGAGGTAATTCAAATGATGTATTTACACTGCTTTAAATTATGTTTTGTTCTTATGTATTTGTCCATTAACCAGGACACCTTGTTTTTTCCCCCTTTTTGCCCCTAATTTCTAAAAGGTTTGAGCCATAATCCCCCCCCCTCCAAATGCAAATCCTAACCATCCCTTTGTGGTATGGAAACTTGTGGTATAATTTCAGAGAGATCCATACACCGTTCCACAAGTTATTGTCTGGAAACAAGAAAAATGCTTATTTTTGGCACCGAATTCCTTAACTGTTGGTACCATAACCTCCAAAATTAATCCCAACCTTCCTTTTGTGGTATTGAACCTTATCGTAAAATTTCATAGAGATCCATTCACTTAAAGTAAAGTTATTGTGCGAAAACCAATGTGTCTTCGGACGACGACGCCAACGTCATAACAATATACAACTGCTAAAATTTTTTTGCGATTGTATAAAAAGTCTGGAAAAGTACAATTTTTCATTTACTTTCGAAGAAATAGACTAAAATTTCCATAAAAATAATTCAACTTAATTAAATAAATTATTATAAAAATAAGAACCTTTCTGAGCCCACACCACTACATTGTCATTGGGCAAACAAAATATCACCAGATTCCAAAGTTCAAAGACTCATGACTCATATAGAAGTCAACTGATAATTTTTTTTGTGGATATGCACATCTAAGTACTATGTCCTCATTTTCAGTTTCATGTAATTCTGTTGTTTCAGAGGAGTTGCGATGACAAACTGTCACAGTGGTATATTTCGGTCAATGTTCTTAGTTCAAAGAGGCAAAAATTCTAGAAAAAACGTTGAATCATAAGTCCCTGTTGATATACTCATCTACATAATATGTCTGTATTATCTACAAAGTGTCTTGAAATTCTGTTGTGTTGTTTCAGAGGAGGACTGGCGGACGGGTCAAACACTTTATACAGTACACTTAGTTGCATGGGGAATAATTAGGAGATGTAGTATGATTGCCAATAAGACAGCCATCCACCAGAGTCCTAATAAGTGGATATAAGCAATAATAGGTCACTGTTTGGACTTCAATCATGAGAAAAACCTGTACTGTATAGTGGGCTATAAAAGATTTGACATGAAAATTGTGAAACAGTTCAAACAACAAAAATAACAACCTAATTTATAAAAAAAACAATTTATGAAAAACAAATATAACAGACATGAACCAATGGCAACCACTGAACTACAGACTACTGACTTGGGACAGGCACATAATGAATAAGGCAAGGTTTTTCTTCATAAGAGAAATCAGTTCAACAGTTTTAAAAAAGGGTGAACAGAACAATTGTATACACTGTACTGTCAAAAGGCCTAATTTCAGTCAAAGTGTTGTCAATCATGAGCTTTATACTAGGTACAGCCCATATCAAGTAGCTCTCGCCCAGTGGCAGTAAAATAGGGAGATTTTTGGTCAGAAGTGGATAAATATAGATTCTTACATTGATACCAGTGGATTATCGGATTTATCCAATCGAGATACTGTAAATACAGAAATTATTGCGTGCATTTATTATTGCGATTTTGTCATTTTAGACTAAAATGCGATTTTAATTTTTGCGATATTCAGAAAAATCCTGTTTGGATTCATATAACAAATTTCAAAATGCGAGTTTTAATTATTGCGATTATAACCCTGTCGCATTTTTCGCAATAATAAAAACATCGCAATAATTTCTGAATTTACAGTAGTTAAATTATCAATTTTAAAGTCTGAGCCTTGGCGAGGACTTTAAAATTTATAATTTAACTATCGAGATTGGATAAATCCGATAATTCACGAGTAACTATGTAAGAATCTGTTTCTCTAATGATTAAAAAATACATTCTCATTTTTTGTTAAACCAAAACCCCCTTCGAGTGCCTTCCACATTTCACAAAGTTGTCAATTTCATTAACACCTGTTAGCATTTTTTGAGCTGATAAAGGTTATGACCCTTAAATTCATCCAATCATCTTCTGAGATCACTGGCAACCACACGTTGATTAAATTTTTTTTATACAATGAGTGCAGAAAGGTATAAATTGTCAAAGAATTAGAGAAATAGCAATATTGAGTGATGCACATGAAAGTAATTATAACAAGCAAGATAAGAGCATTTTTACTATTCAGATGTTTTAATGACATACTCTGAGCAGGTTTTTATCATTAACATGTTTTGATTTGACAGATATACAGACTTGTGAACAATCATCTTTCTGCATTGCTCTTAAGCACAGAGGAAAATAAACTTTATTACTTGGGTATGGTGTGACACAAATATGCGTTGTTGTCTCTGCTGTTTGAAAGATAACATCAGATACAAATTGAATTTTTGATGATCCTTGTATGGATTCTTTGCATCAATTTGTGTCTGAATTCCAACACAAACATGTCTACTGAAAACCTGACCTCAGCATTATTACCAGTAGTCTCATAGTTACAAGGGAGGAAACTAGTTTATGAGATGCACATACCTTAAAGTAAGCATTGGTATTTTTTGCAATATGAACTCTTGGGAGTGTCCTCCCCTCAAGTGTAGGAGGTTGTTGCTTCAATTCAAAGACTTGATGGTATTTGCTGATTTTCCAACATGTCATTAGTATTTATGAGTAAGAACTTGAAGTGAAGTTGTTATAATGTATATACTGATAGGTATTTTGACATATTTTCCTGGGTACTTTTACCTTATTACTTATCACATTTAATTTTCAGCTCAGTAGGATGGTACAAACTAATTTCCTCATGGTCAAAAACTTCCACAAACCTAATAAGATGTGATATGATTGCCAATGATATAACTATTCACAAGCAACCAAATTATGTAAATGTATGCAACTATAGGTCACTGTACTGCCTTCAACAATGAGTAAAACCCATATATGAAAAACTGGTCGTCTCCTTTGAATTGTTTGACTTTTTGTCATGTAGAGGCCTTTAATAGCTTGCTTTCGATTACGTTCATTGTTGAAAGCCATAGTGTGACCTTTGATTTTTACATCTTTGTGCTTTTGTCTTTTTGAAAAGTGTCTTACTGGCAATCATACAACTTGTAATTATTTTTATAGCATTGTAACTTCATTTAATATCGGTACTCATAATATAAACTGTCTACTATTTGTAAAACTGATTCTAAGAACATTTTTTCTTTTAGAAAGCTGGTGTTGTGTAGTGATCATTGTGTCTGATTGTCAGATATAACACCGTTGTAGGCACTTTTATGGATATGCTTGAATCACTGTTGATCTTCACCAAATTTTGTCCATTGCTTTGTCAGTGGGACGCTTTGAATTCTATCATTTTAAAGTCAGAGGTAAAAGCCAAATTTCACAAAATAATTTATTGAAATGAAGCCCAACCATTTTAGCACCATAACATTCCAAAAATTTTTGGAACCACACACAAAATTATATTGGACAGACATGGTGGATCCAGGGGTTGGACACCCCCCCCCCCCCGCCATTTTTAATTTTTTTTTTATGTCCTTGGGGTTAGAACCTCCTTTTCAAAATGGCTGGGCTGCACCGGACTGGTGCAATTTGTTCTAAGTATAATCTGCAATTTGGTTCTTTAGGTTGAAAATAATCAGGATCTGAGACTACTGGTACTCATTAAACAAGTCATCTTGGAAGACTGACACAGAACCTTAAATCATTTTTATAAAACTAAGTCTGTCGAATTTAAAAAGCCAACCTTACTTTATCAATCAACTCTTATTTACAGTTGATTTTTATCTTTATTGCTATTATGCAATATAAAGTTTATAAAAGATTACAAAAATTTACGAAAAATGGTTAAAAATTGACTATAAAGGGCAATAACTCCTTAAGGGGTCAACTGACCATTTTGGTCAAGTTGACTTATTTGTAGATCTTACATTGCTGAACATTATTGCTGTTTACAGTTTATCTCTATCTATAATAATATTCAAGATAATAACCGAAAACGGCAAAATTTCCTTAAAATTACCAATTCAGGGGCAGCAACCCAACAATGGGTTGTTCAATTCATCTGAAAATTTCAGGGCAGATAGATCTTGACCTCATAAACAATTTTACCCCATGTCAAATTTGCTCTAAATGCTTTGGTTTCAGAGATATAAGCCAAAATCTACATTTTACCCCTATGTTCTATTTTTAGCCATGGCGGCCATCTTGGTTGGTTGGCCGGGTCACCGGACACATTTTTTAAACTAGATACCCCAATAATGATTGTGGCCAAGTTTGGTCAAATTTGGCCCAGTAGTTTCAGAGGAGAAGATTTTTGTAAAAGTTAACGACGACAGACGACGACGACGGACGACGGACGCCAAGTGATGAGAAAAGCTCACTTGGCCCTTTGGGCCAGGTGAGCTAAAAATGCAAGACATGATTAATGCGATTGCTAAAATTCTGAGAACAAAAATCCCATCTGAAATTATGAATGAGTTTTTATTATTGCCAACCTGATAGTGATAATGCATTTTTCACATTAATGAAAAAAAAAAGCAATTATTTCTGAATTTACAAAACACTGGATCCATGGAACTTTCATGCTATAAGTTTGTGAGAAGCAAGCCCAGTTAACCATGCCATAAAACCAGATAAAATAATGTAGAATTCTTTTTATTCAAACAGTTTCTATTTTCTTATATGCTTCTCTTAAAAAACAAATATAATCAGCTTCAACATTTTCAAAATTGACAAGTAAACATTAAAATATAAAACTGTGATATAATGCACAGTCTGATTGAAATAGAGATCATGTGTCCATACTTTGCTAACAAGGTTATGTTAATAATTACAAAATGTTGATGTTGGGTACCATAACTACAAAACTGCAGGATCCTTTAAAGGTTTTCAAGACAGAAATTTAAACAGAGAACTGACAGATCCTTGTAAGCAAAACCTTGACACAGAATCTGTATTTCTAAAAGATGAATATAAAACAAAAATAACAGTCTCCAGTTCATTCTAATGCACAACTGTTTATAGCAGGTCTAGGTATTTTTATATATAATCAGTGTGGTTTTATCTAGGATAAACAATATCCCATGTGCTATTTTCCTTAACTTTCATATCGTATAATCAAAGTGCTTGTGAGCATTGCTTACATTTTGCAATTTCATGAATTTTTAAATAAAACATTGAATTTTATTTTGCTAGGCAAATTCAAAATTTGAGTTGAGTTATCTTCCTTTGTTCATGATTGTACATTTGTAGTTGAACCTATTTTTATAATGGGTTCATACACCATGCATTTCTTACGCAATTTTTAATAAAAAAATGTTTTCTTGACAAGTATGGTAAAGCTATGATTTGCCAGTCCTGAACTCGTATTACGATTCAAAGCTGACATAGGAGTAGGTTAAAAAAGGGTTAAATTGGTCCTTATACTTTAAATATTTTTTTAATAAGGTTGAAATACTACAAATTTCACATAGTTATGGTACATATGTATTACTATTACATATTATACAAAATAACTTCTTTTTGGCACATCGCATGATAAATAACTGACCCCTTAATTATGCATTATTTATGTTGCAACATCAGTTCTTGTCCAATTTTTTCATAATTTATAATAGATTTTTAGCATAATTTACTTTGGCCGCAGCCACTGTTCTAGAAATTTTTTGTCTCTAGGGATTCAGTATCATCATTGGCGTCGTTCAGTTACAGAACATTTTGGATCGTACTCCTTGGGAGCCTGCTACTAAAAGTATTGATTTGACGTTAACACATATGTACACTAAATAATCAGAAATTAATTACTGTAATATTATCTTTTAAAATGAATATAAAATATGTAAATAAGACTAGGATTATTAAAAAACACTTTCCAAAATTATTATGGTACTTAAAATAGAATAACCAAGTTATAACCATAGTTAATGCTAAGACTTGCATAACAAGAATGTGTCCATAGTACACAGATGCCCCACTCGCACTATCATTTTCTATGTTCAGTGGACCGTGAAATTGGGGTCAAACTCTAATTTGGCATTAAAATTAGATAGATAATATAATAGGGAACATGTGTACTAAGTTTCAAGTTGATTGGACTTCAACTTCATCAAAAATTACCTTGACTAAAAACTTTAACCTGAAGCGGGACAGACGGACGGACGAACGAACGGACGCACAGACCGAAAAACATAAAAATACTATAGTCTTTATTACTACATGTATGCTTTTTAAATTAAAATAATACTGTAGCTATTGCACTACCTGATATCATTAACTTTAAAAAAATTCAGCTGCCACACAGTTTTACCCTGAAAATCATAAAATTAATCTGAATCAGACGATTCTGAACCTGAATAACTCCTATATCTCTTACGATGTTTTCTCCCTACGGATGACTCTTTATATATTTGACGGTCATCTGGACTTTCTGATACACTCTTTTCAAATTTTCTGTCCGACAAACTGTCTCTCCTAAATCTTTCAACAGCTCTAAGTTCAGAAGAACAGTTATTATCGTACAAATCACAGTCTGTTTTCCTTTTCTTTCTTTTAATGTTCTGGCGAGATTCTGAATCAGAAAATTCACTTCCACTACTTTCATGAGATTTCTTTTTGTGTTTTTTATGAGAGTATTTGTTCACGCTTAAATGTTTTTTAGACTGCTTATGTTTAGTTCTCTTCGAATGGGACTCAGAATGATTGTCATATTTATCATTTTTCAAGCCATGATTTTCTGAATGTTTCCTTTTTCTAGATGAATTGTCAGAGTCTTTCAGTTTATTGCTTTTATCATCTGATTCACTATCACTACTATAGTCTGACCCCTTCGTCTTTTTTCGTTTTGAATGCTTTTTATGTTTTTTGCTTCTTTTTCTCTTACTCTCTGATTCAGAGTCTGAAGTGTAGTGTTTTTTACTCTTTTTTCTCTTTTCTTTTCTCTTATGTTTTCCTTTCTTTTTTCTGCAAAAAGATATTTTCGTACTCTTTGAAATCAAGCAAAAAATATTACAGTTTTTCAAATTTAGAAAAGCTAATTTATTTAAAAGCACATGGTCTGCCAAATTTCAATTAACTTTGGAGACAATGCATTTTTCTAAAAAAATTATAAGATGATTAACTAACAAATTTTAAGTATCAAATGATTGCAAACTTCACTCAATTCATTGAATAGCAACTATTATTTGTCCATCTCATCAACCTTAAAAGATGGAAACACATCCACTCAGTTGAACATTATTGACAGTATACATGGTATATATGTGAGCTGCGTCAGATAAAAATCGACCTTATGCAAATGAATATTAATACATCTGGTAACCTGTTTCAGGTTTTAAAATTCTCTACGGAAAGTGTATAACTATTTGCCCTTGCGTAAGGTCTTTTTCTATCAGATGCAGCTCATGTCTTGTCCAGCCATAGCAAAATACTATTTTGATTATTTCATCTCATCTTTGATAAATAAAATCTTATTGATTCAAGTTATTGGTTCTTCATAACACATTTTGAAATCTCCATTCAGATTTATGTATTGAATTGTTTTATTGCATGATTGTGTTTTTTATGCTGTTGTATATGTTTGCATGTATGTGGTTTAAAACTCTCTAGAGCTTATGTTTTGTAGTTGATAAATACTGGTATACCACTTCTAAATAAATCTTTTCATATTTGTATTATAGTCTATCCAGGATCTGAGTAAAGAAAATTCAAATTTAAATTAAAGAATAAATCATATGTATTAAAATTTAATGTTTTTCTGAACTTTTCTGCTATTTGGTCGAGTTGTTGTCTTTTTGACACATTCCCCATTTCCATTCTCAATTTTATTTTATATATATCTAAAATGTATTCAACATTTTAGCAGAAACCCTATTCAAAATGTCCTTCATTGAGATTAAACTATTTTAACAATTAGCAGATTTATTTGCAATTTATTAAAAATATCAAATAATTTGAACATAATTTCATAACTAAACATGTGAGAGAAAAAAATGCACCATAAACTATTTTTTCCTCCAAAAAAAAAAGGAAACATAATGGTGTAACTTTAATCTTACGTTTTCTTTGGTTTCCTGTGTGATTTTTCTTCCTCAGATCTGTCACTGTCAAAATCTTTTGGATACATTTCTTTATAACCGCTATGACCCCACCTGAAATATTACAATAACTACTTCTGTCATTTATAAATTACCATACTATTCTCTCAGTCATATACAAAATGTCTCTCATTGTATTGTCCACTTTTATATTTACTGCAGGGAAGTCCTGGGGCTCGCATAAAATTTTAGGACAAATATTGATCATAAGTTGTGTTCATGTCTTTACCTACAAATATTTTTTCTCAACTGTTTGTGAACTGAGTCCCTGCATTTTGATTTTGTAGTTTTTATAATGTGATATTTCAAGTAGAGATAAATCAAAGAGAAAAAGAAAGCATAAAATACACATCAGAGATTCAATAAAAATTGAGAAATTAAATGTTCAAAATTTCACTACAAAATCTGCCATGATGGGAGATAACTCTAATGATATTTGCTGGATGAATAGATGGAACTTCTTACATGAGAGTTAACCCTGTTTTTCGCCTGCTATTGCTGCTGTCAGAGTAAAAGTGTAATAATAACTGTCAAAAACTAAGTCCATTTATCAGTAAAATACACATGCAAAAAAAACCTATTCCATTTATCAGTTAAATATGTAAAAATATTTTCTTGCTTTTTACTGCCTTTTGAATATAAAAAAGCTTCTGCCGAAGTTCCATAAAATGCAATGAAGAATCGACAAATTTATTGACTTTTGAAAAACTTGAATCAGTCTGAAAGTAAATGTTCACTCAGCTGACAACAACAGAATGTAGAATCCCTATGCCACGCTTCTTCACCATTATATAACAGGCTAGACAAAAAAGCAGAATGATCAAATATTTTGTGAAAACATGAATCAACGACAACATTCACACAGTGTGTCACCAATATGTCTCTTTGTTTTGTATCATCAGAATAGAATCTATATGAGTTAGTTGTCCAGTAGTTACTTTTTAGAACACATTTAATTGAAATCCTGCTCACATGACTAATAACATGTGTAACTTAAACGGTAGCCACATGTGGAGCAGGATCTGCTTACCATTCCGGAGCACCTGAGATCACCCCTAGTTTTTGGTGGGGTTTGTGTTGCTCAGTCTTTAGTTTTCTATGTTGTGTTTTGTGTACTATTGTTTGTTTGTTGGTCTTCTTCTTTTTTAGCCATGGCGTTGTCAGTTTATTTTATGAGTTTGAATGTCCCATGTGTCCCTCTGTTATCTTTCGCCTCTCTTCTTAAATAAATTTAAAACAAAAGATGTTACTGAAATAAAAAATCTAACCAATTTTGGTCTGAACTAATGAAATGGTTCTAATAAGAAGATTGAAAAACAAATAACAGAAAAAAGCTCACACCCCACCATAGCAATATCATTTCAATTTGCTGACACACTAAAATTAGTAGTTGGCCACCAATACACTTTAGAAGGAGTAACATTACAGTACCTATCAGGGTCATTGTCTTCTGCCTTGTAAAGCTGTCTCAGACAAAATGTACTCTCAGGTTCTTCATCCATATGGGCTCTTTTACTTTTTCTACGGGAAAAGTCATCATTCATATCTACTCTTTTATCCTGAAGAAAGGAATATTTATTGTCTTTTTCAAATTCTTTTGATCGATGATGTTCCTTCCACATTTCAGCCTCCTCAACAATCTGAAAAAAAACATTCAATTGTGTATTTTCATAATATCAAAAATTATACCCCTTGGAAATTTTAAGATTCAAAACTTAAAGAATTATAAAAAATCACCATAGTCAAAGGTTTGCTCTCTAGTCTATCCTTTACCTTACACACAAGACATGAATTTATATAAATAGGTTGGAAACATTTTCACTTTTAGGTTTGGGTCTGGATGTGAAAAAGCAGGGATTTCATTTTTTAAAATTAATCTATAGAGTAGTTTGAGAATGGCCATTTGTCTACAATTTAGAAAGAAATGGTGTTCCCCTTCAACAGTCATGACAGTATTACAAGTTTTAAACACTTTTTCATTCATAAAAAGAAAACACTTCTCCATATGGAAAAATCTGGTGTTGATGGCATTGATGGCATATCTATAATAGTCTCTGTTTTTATTCAGATCAATTTTAGACTATGGGCAATTTAGAGCCGAAAAAACAGTAATGTACAGACACTTTTGTATTGATTCTTGATTTTTTCCTTGACATTGGGTTGCTGTCTCATTTCCGTATGTATACCTATAATATCTTTTATTCAAATAGGTTGGTCTCCTGTTGGCTTTGGCTTCCTGTGGAAACAGTTAAAACAAATCAGGTTGAGTAATAGCACTTTTTGGATACTGTGGATTCATTATTATTTATGGGATATCAATTTTGTGGATTCATTATTATTTATGGGATATCAATTTTGTGGATTCTATGGGTATTGGTTTACCATGAATTTAAGTGTACAACGAAGTACACATTTTCTTAAGGCTTGTATGCAGATCTCAGCAAAACCACGAAATCAAATATCTACGAAAATACATTTTTTCTTTAAATCCACAAAAAATGGTCCCCCATAACAATAAATGAATCCACAATAGTCTGAAACCTCCCACATTTTGACCTAGGCCATTCTTATGTCTTGTCTCATTCTGTTTGGTTGTACAGAAATATTTGTTGGCAAACCAAGGGACGGACAGACATTCTCCTGGAGTGGGGGTATAAAATCTTACCTTGTTGTGACTACCAACATGCCTAATGTAATTCTTCAACAATGTTTTTGCTGCAGAATTTGTCATCTTGAAATGGTATAAAGGCTACTGAAAAATAATGAGATTTTCATTTTTATTCAGGCAAAGTATACATAATATTAATTGGAAGATATTTCAGTTTTGAAGAAATTTTGCATGCATTTAGAACTTGCTGAACTGCAGCTGAATATGGAAAAAAAATGAGATATACATCTGTAACTTTTATACTTTAATAGATACACATGATACAGTAAAAAAATTGTGATATAAATCTACAAATGTATAGCATAAAAGCGGCTTAAAATATGCATTATTTTACATTAACTTGTGTTTTCTTAAAAATCTGTCCATAGAATTTTAATTGAAAATAATATGTTATTACTGAGTATAATTAATAAGTAAATATTCTTTCTCCTGGGACATTCAAAAGAAAATCAATTTCATAAAATGAAGACAATGTCCGAACGAAAACTGATCAGTAGAGTATGATATTGGTATTTGATACTTGCTATTACCATAGAATATTTGTGTTTTCTAGTCCTTGTTGACATTCCTAGATATTATTAAGGATAATTTAAGGGAACAATCAACCCCAGAAAAAAATGACCAAGTGTGATTAGAAATCACATGAAAAAACACATATCACATCCCTCAAAAGGGATCAATCTCTCAAAAAACCTGGGCTACATATACAGTGTATAAGAAACAAAGTTTTCGACCAAATGGTGTAATATTTTATTCAATCATTTTATTTTTAAATAATTTCCCTAAAATCAAAAAAATACTTTTTAGCACATCAAATTTACATGTATATCTCTAACTGATCAGTCCAGTCCATGCATGTAAAAATTTGACTTGGGTTGCTGCTGGGAAGTAAGTACTATTTGCTTCTCATCACGTTGCGAAGCTATTAATTTCATACGATATTCACGCCATCTTGAAATTATTACGTAACAAATATCTGTTCTTATTGGTTGTCTTATGATCTGTGAAAGATTCTATTGGCTAAAATGAGATATAGAATTGGAAACATGTCCCATACAGGAGAAGATATTAAATACGGACAAAATTACAGTACGAGTATTCAAGATCCCATCCAATACCAGACCAATGAATGATTTTGCCTTTCCATGCTTTCCTGAATTACCTTGCTTTATTATGTCAAGTCAACTTCATGTTAATAAATAAAAGGAGGGACTAAGACGAAAAAGTTTCTGAGTGTTCATCTGACTATATACATGAATGCATGTACACCAACACTAAAAATACATGTACATATAATTATTGCCAATGATCTTCCAGAACTTTGTCCAAATACATGTATTCCATACTGTAAAACCAAATGATAAACCAAAACCACAGGTACCCCAAATTGTGCATTAGAATTATTTTGAGAATGATCTGGAACTTTTAGGAGGCATCTATAATAACAACTTAATAAAATTGAGGTGTAAGAAAACACATATGAGAATATCCAAATGCAAATAAATATTGCATCAAAAATGACCAAGTTGGCCTTAAAATACCACACCTTTCCCATACATTAACAACCACATCTTACTGAAAAGTATAAAACAGCAAAGCACTCCAAACCTTTTAAGAAAGCTAAAACTTGTACGATCCATAGTTTACCCTAAAAGACCAAAATAGGGGTCAGACCTATAATCGGACAGTACTTTAGTCCTGGCAACAGTGTCAGTCCTAGTCTACAATCTGACAGCCTGTTGGTCAGACAGTCCTGTAATCTGACAGCCCAATAGATCCTGACTTGAAGTCAATTTTGTCTCTGAAAAAATATACCTATAGACATGTAGCACAATTAGAACAAGTATACAAATGTTATACTGGCGATATTTTCTACTTGCCAAACTAGTGTACTATATTCATGATGATATGTCTCCAAGTTTATTAATTTAATTAATTCAATAGATCCTGAAAGGTAATAATTTAGTATCAAATATTTTTACTTATATTGTAAAGTTAGTTTTGGAAAACCGTTTTGATATAGTCTTTACTTTTACAAATTGTGACTTGGATGGAGAGTTGTCTCATTGGCACTCATACTACATATATCTATTTACAACATGTACAAGGGACACACTGGTCCCTAGCCCGTCACTGTCTACAGGGGACACACATGTCTCCAGTGCTGCCAACAGTACTAGGGGAACCGTAGCTCATAGGTCCATATGATATTTTTTGACAATTTGGGGTCCGAAAATTGTTAAAATATCATATAAAGACCTATGAGCCATGGTTCCGCAGCTATGTCAACGCATTCAACTCTGTCTCTGACCAGGATTATGAAAGGATTGCACATAACGAAAAAATGTCACAAATGTACCAAAAAATTACAATTGATATACGTGATTTTAACTATTTTTTAATATTTTTGAAATTATGTTGTTTGTTACAAATTTTGGTATTTTTGGGTGTTTTGGGGAATATTCAATGACAATGACAATGTCCCAGGTTAGCTACGGTAATTTTTAGTCAACTGTCTTACAAAAATAGGATTAAAACATGTAGTTAAAGATTGGAGAAGTAGGCAAAGGGATTTGGGTGTCTTGCAAAAACGAATGTGAAGAAATAGAGTTTTGACTTACGAAAAAAATACGTTTGTGTAGAAAATAGTTGTCCCCCTTTATGCACACATTCTGATGACGTAGAGCGCTGTCTAAGGACGCATTCTACAAGCAGAAACAGGTGAATGTGGATAATTATAGCATTCGATAAGCAAATAGTGTTTATATATAGTCAGGTAGCTTTTAATGCCTTATGCTTCTGAAATATAACTTTTTTGAGATGACATGTTGTCGTTTGTAAATTGAGATAATGAGAAGAATCAGAAATGTGTCAAAACTTGAATTGGTTCAATGGTTGTCACAACTTGACACAAGGATTTATAACTTAATCTAAATTAGATTAAAGAAATATTCTGTCCCCCCCCTATGGAAGACATAAGATGTAAAAAAAAAAAAACCATGGAAATATTTTTCACCATTACCAAAATTTTCTGGAATTCCAGATTTTAAACGCATTATAAAACTTAAATATACTGGAATTTTTTTAATGATGCTGTCAATTTGTCTGGAAATTTTAGTGTAAAGATTAGAAGCAATACCTATGGAAGACATCGATTTTATTTCTTTTGTCTGGAATTTATCTGTTTTTTTTCTAAATGTGCCAAAAAAACTGGAATTTTATACTTAGTAACATATATGCAGCCGTAATCAAAAGAAGTGTGTTTAAAAGTTAAGCGCAAACAAATCCCTGACTAGAAGAACTGTTAGCCAATATCTTTACCAGTGTATATAAAGCCTTGTCATTGCAGACAAATACACCACTATCCCAGGAGAATTTGGATCCAGCACATACGTTTTTTTAACCTCGCTGCATATATTTTCTATATATATATATAAATCTGTCCCAAGTCAGAAGCCTGTAATTTAAGTGGTTGTTGCTTATTACTGTATTTCATATTTGTTTTTCATTTGTTTTGTATATCAATTTGGCCATTAGTGTTTCTCGTCTGTATTGTTTCACACTGGTCATTTTCAGGCCCATTCTAGCTTATTATGCTGTGCGAGCCTAGGCTCCATGTTGAAGGCTGTACTTATAGGTTTCATATAACAAATGAGAATTGAAATTATATCGCTTGATTTCAACTGGAGTTATTTAATTTCAATATAATAATAAACTAGCCTGTGGCAAGTTTATTATTAGTAAATAAATTAAATAACAAGAGTTGATATCAACATGATCAAGCGATATCCAATTTTCTCAAGTTGTTAAACCTATTTCTCTTATGGTCAACACTCTCAAAGTGTAAAATTAAAAATATATAGTTTTACATTATTACAAATTTTTAATGTTAATTAGGTGAAAATGTCTAAACAATGGGATTAAAAGCACAAACAGCAAGTTAATAGCTGGTAAGAATGCATATGGGAAAATTAATAGAGAGATAATTGATTTGACCACTATTAGATACATTTACAACTGTTGTTTTACCACATCAAAAGATTCTGACATCTGACTTGTGATATAAATAGGCAAGTTGAAAACTTGACCTTCATCTAAATTTCCAGGATTTGATCATATATAATTAATGAAGCTTGAAATAGTGACCATGGTGACCTTTTTAGCAGCTCATCCCTATATATAGCTACCACTGAATAAATAGTAATTGAAATTGGATTTCCTGTTTGAAAATGCAAATTATTGCTAAAGTTCACTTATGAATGCAATAATCATTCCATAAATCTTCAAAGATGAACCCTTCGAAAAATACTGGTGTTATAGATATGAAATGCTTTTGAAAGAATACTGAAAAATTCCAATATCTTCATAAAAACTCAAACCACCCAATTTTTAAAGAAAAAGAACAAAGTTGAAAATAGATGTAATGTATCATTCATTACATATTATCATGCTCAAGCAGAAAAACTTCAAAAAGTATTCAGAAAATACTGGCATCTTTTTAAAACAGATTCTACAATAGATGCCAGATCCCATAAAAACCTATCAATAGGATTCAAAAGAAAAAGAACATTGGTGAATTAGTGAAATGAGCTATAAAATTATTTGTATGAACATCACAGTTCCTACAAAATATTTCACTGTGCAGAACTAATTAATGACCATCATCATGTAAACCACACAAGTAAACTGATATTCTTAGGACAAAATTCTTATCATGAAACACTTAATTCAACATTAAATTTTATTGAAATAGGTTGAAATAGTTAGAAAATCAAAAAATCTAAATTCAAATATAAATTAACAAATCAAAAAACTATGATTATTATTATTATTATTATTATACAGTATTTATAACAGCGATTTATATAATATTAAAATTACCCTAAGTGCTTTATAACATATATCAATTCACATATATAAGTATTAACAATAAAATATGAAAGCCAATGTTATAAAATCCTAAAACAAACAGATTTTAAAAATATTGCATATAAAACTATACTATGAAGTTTACTGATAAACAATAAAATTTATATAAAATGGGCATGGTAAAATTACCATGATAATAAATAAAAAAAGATATTAATTTTTTTTAAAAAACTTTAAACAGTAATAAAAAAGAAATAAATGAAAAACATAAGGGGTGGTCTCTGATGAAAGTTTCCCTTTAATTATAAATACAATTCCGGAAAAAACCAAAACATTGCTATATAGCACAGTATCCATGAAAGGCCAAAGATATGATTTGCACCAAAATGTGTGGATATTGGATCAAATTCTATGAAATTATCTCTAATCACAGAAAATGATACTTGGATGTTTAATTTGTACTCTTAATTTATTTTGTCAACTAAAAAATTGTGTCTTTTTGATTTAAAATGTTGCTTATTAGATTAGTGCTAGCTCTATAAGGCAGAGACTCCCCCTAAATACACGTCTGCATATGACTCTGTTTATCTCTTCAATTTAAATTATTGCAAGATATGTTTTTATCTTTATTTTATTTATATATAAAAATTAATCAAAATTTGTTCAGGGTTCTATTTCTTGATTTACAAGAAAGCTTCTGTCTAAATTTTGTAAGTTTTGTAAAATTCCACAAAGGTTTGACACATACCTAAATGTTGACTGAAATAATATTTATCAGTAAATTATGGAAGAATGGGTGGAAAATTCAAAATTTTACTCTACATGTCAGGTATTTATCAAGTATGAAGAAACTAATCATCAGTAATATACAGAAGAGATAACAAAAAAAACCCAACTATTTTTTTCTTAATTGCAATGTTTTTGTCAAGAAGAAACTTGTCCTTGTTCTTGAAATTCTATAGTTATTGATGTCTTAATACTTTAACCCAATACTATATCTAAATAATAACTTCAAAAATGCCATTTATCTGTAAAATATAAAAAATGAAACAAACATATACTTATAGAGGTCTAAGTATTCTAACTACTGTATATTTAGCCTGTCAACTATGAGGTTTTGAATCCAGCACATGGCAGGTGCCCTCAACTCCAATCATTATTGACTATAATTGTTAGTTTTCCTACGGAATGTCATGGTTCTCTATGGCTTCCTCGACTCCACCCAATAAAAACTGACCGCCACAAAATAGCACATTAGTGCTGAAGTGGCATCAACACCAATCATTCAATCAATATATCAATCATTCCATAATGCTTTGACAAAGTTATTTTGAAGTCTAAAAAACCACATTATTGATACCAGGCTTAAAATTGTGAACACCAGACCAGGGTTTTATCTACAAAAGACTCAACAGTGATGCTCAAATCCAAAAAGTTTAATAAAAGGCCTAATAAATTATGAAGTTGAAGAGCATTGGGGACCCAAAATTCCAAAGAGATTTTGCCAAATACAGCTAAGGTAATCTATTCCTGGAATAAAAAATATATAGTTTTTTGAAAATTTCAAAGTTTTGTAAACAATATATGTTAGTGCAAAAAAAACTTAGTCCATTATATCAGTGAAATATTGAAAAAGAATAATAATCTCTGGATGCTGTCTTTGTATAGAAGAAGCGTCTGTCAGTTAAGCAAAATTCCATGAATATTTAACAAAGCTATCGACTTAAAATAAAAAAGAAATTAACCCAAAACAAAGGAGTAGGCCCAGTAAGACCCCTTTTTGACCCCAAAATATAGCAGTTTTACAAAATTGTTAAAATGTAAACTTTCAGCTATTTATTGAAAAGCTAAGAATACTTCTGTTACATAAGTATGGGCTTTTTATTGACAATACAATGCACATGTATCGGGTACTAGCATTGTTTTTAAATCATGCAAAATTGCTGCAATCTTCACAATTTTACAATTTGAGATAATTTTTAGAAGGTTTCCGTCTAAAATGGAAGTGGCCGCATTTGTGTTCAGTCTCAATATTTAGATACATGTTATATATAAAGGGTTGAGAATGAACACGAATGCGGCCACTTTCATTTTTGACAAAAAAACATCTGAAAAGTGACATTTTATGGCATATTTGATAGATTTTTCATACAATTATAAGCTTAAATTTTGCCGTCTTTAATGACTTAATCAGCTGAAATCTTTCACATCAACTAATTGAATCGACTGAAGAAGACACTTATGTGTTTAAAAAGTGCCCAAAATCTTTCATCAGATGTACCTGAAATTTGAGGCCAAAATTGGCCCTTACCTAACCTACTCCTTTAAATGTTGATGACACTAGAGAGAAGGATTGCTATGTCTAGCTTGGGGAACTCTAGTTGCAGGCTTGACAAATAGTAAATTGTAAAACAGGATGACTTAAGAATGTCAGTTTTTTTGTGTAATGAATTTTTATAAACTTTTTAAATTTCAAAACTCATGTCAAATTTTATACATCATTGTTAAGAGAATACATTTTCAGATTATTCAATTGGTAGGAGAACATATTACATTCAATATCATCTAAAGTTTCATTCCAGTACACAATACAATTATTTTTGAAAATAGGTTAATTCTTCAAACATCAGACATTTCTTATTATATTTATTTTTCTTATCTTAGTAAGTTATATGCTTTCATATGAAAATAAAACACTAAACACAAATAATCAATTTATAAAAGTTCACATTGCCTTGCATTAATTTAAAAAAAAAGGGGGGGATCTTCTGTGTGTAAATTCAAAAGTCAGTAAACAGTTTGCCACTGATTCTGATAACAATCTAAATGAATCTATCTATGTGCATGGAAGTAATACTTCCATGCTATGTGTAATAGTATTTTGCAATCCATAGTAGAGTCATAGTA